GGGGTGTTATCAATGACTGGAGCAAGCAAAAATGTCCTGGAGACTGGTTTGGCAACCCAGATCTTAGAGTCCAGTTACTGAATGGATACAAACAAGTCAGTTGTCACATCCATAGTTCCAAGAGTCCATAAATCAACCGAGTCTATAGAAGGTATTAAGATACTGCCAAGAAGGAAGGATGGCTAAGCCTGGCATTGGGTCATGACTTTGGAAATGGGCTAAAATACTGAATAAAAGATACTTTGTCTTCTCTCCACTTTTGAAATTTAGAGGCATGAGCGTCTGAGACCTGGTATCTTCTGGAAGTGCTTCACCTCTGAAGTATTGAGCTTCAAATCCCATTCTCTTACCGCAACTTTCTACCTTCCCATTTCTGTCACTCTGCTTCAGGATAGGTTCCTCCAACCCACTGAAATGACCAATATTTTTCAGTTTTTCCTGGTTATTCATGTTATTCCTGGTATGTGTGTAGACATGCAGATATGAACTCTCTTTTCTAAAGCTGTATGTGTGTGTGTGTGTGTGTGTGTGTGTGTGTGGTGTGGTCATATAGATATGAATTCTGTTTCCCTTAGGTACATGGTATACATACATATATGTGTACAGATGTATAGATATATAGGCATACATCTAAATATCAAGTGCTCACTCTGCTTGCCAAATATTGTTCAAAGCAATTTACATGCATTATCTCTTTTAATACTCATTGAACCCCTGTGATATAGATGCTATTATTATCCCTATTTCACAGATTAGGAAGTGAAAGTCACTCAGTTGTGTCCGACTCTATGCAGCCCCATGGACTGAACAATCCATGGAATTCTCCAGGCCAGAATACTGGAGTGGGTAGCCTTTCCCTTCTCCAGGGGATCTTCCCAACCCAGGGATTGAACCCAGGTCTCCAGCATTGCAGGCAGATTCTTTACCAGCTGAGGCACAAGGGAAAATATCGAATATGAGGGTTCCCTCATAACCCCAACCTCATTAGGTAATTATTTAACAATTAATTTAACCCCTCAGTTAGAGGGGTTAAAAGTCTGTAAATTGCCCTAAGCCTTAGAGCTAATAAAGGTAGAACTCAATTGGAGCCCAGGTCTGTCTGACACAGCCCTCTTAATTACTATATTTACCTCTGAAAAGATATCTGAAAGATATGCACCACATTGTTAAATAATTACCTAATGAGGTTGGGGTTATGAGGGAACCCTCATATTCGACATTTTCTCCTTTGTTTTGTTTAGATCTCTATCTAAGAATTCCATATTTCTACATTAACATCAGTTCCTTCCTTTTTTCACTGCCTCTGACTAATTTGCTCTCCCAGGTCCTGGCCGAGGTAACTCTCCTCTCTGGCCTAGTTTCTAGTGTGGCAAACGTTCCTGGGGAAAGTTTATCTCCAGACAGACTGACTCCATGACTGAGGAGTGGGTTCCAGTCACCTCAGGGCTCAGAAAGCTTCCAACATCCTCAGGCAGATCTCCTGACCCTCCCCCAGATTTTCACTCTCCTCCTTTCTTCTTTCACTCACACTGTTGCCAAGTGTCTTTTCATTTGTTTTACATTAACTGTCTTAAAAGTCTAAACATATTGTCTTTGTATCCTCATCTCTTTTCTTTACTGACCCCCGCCTTCACTGCTCTATTATACTCAAGTTGATTTAGGGGTTAACAAGACCTTCCTAAATGGGAAATCCCATAGCCCTTGCTTTAGTCTGTTCTGTTTAATCAGCCATGTCAATCACACTTTTAAAACTCCTTTCTCTCTTGACTTCTGTAAAGCTTCTCTCTCCCATTTTCTATCCTCACTTTGACCAACCTCTCATTTTCATTCACCGCCTTCTCTTCTTCCTACCTTCTTCCATGAATGTGATGTTACTGAGAATTTTATCTTCTACCATGGCTCTGTTTAAACCCTCCATGCTAATTCCATGCATATTCTCAGTACTTTTATCTCCTCATAAACGACTTCTGTCCAGGTCTCTATTTTGAGCTTCAGGCCAGTATAGCTAACCACTCAGAGGTGTGCTGGCTCTCTAGAGGGGACAAAGATCACATTTTGTAGTGTTTGCTGCTTCCTATAACATGAGGTCCTCACTGTGATGATTTCAAGCCATCCATGTGAAATCACTGCAGACAGAGTTGGAAAATGTGCACTCTCTCAACCAGGGATAAGTTTTAATTTTAAATTTAATTACTTAACCTTTTTTTTTCTTTTACATTCTGTTATCTTCTAAGGGACTCAAAGATTTCCAAGTTTCCAACTATACACTTTCAGTTTTATTGAATCCCATTGTTCCCTCCAGTTTCATTGCTTTAATCAGGATGGGTTAGTTTCCAGGTCAAGGCACAGCCATCACCCAAGGACTTCCCTCCTCGGCTTATCTGTATCATAGTCTCTTTTCTGTGGACCCTGTGCAGTAAGGATGCCTTTCACTTCCACCCCTTTCAAGGAGAAGCAATAACTCACTTCTTAGAAACCCCACAGTCCTGGACGTACCTACATAGGCTGGCTCACTATGGTGTCATTTCCTTAGCCTCCAGGGCTAGTCACCCTTGAGATGGAACCTAACATACAGTTTGCCCTCAATAAACACTATTTGAAAACACTACTGAGTGAATTATTCCTATTTATTCCAATATCTTGATGGAAGACAGAGTCATCAGAGTTAGGAAGCACTGCTATGTTAATGGGAAACGGAAGTAAGAATGAAGAGGTAAGAAATGGCAAAACAGCTCAAAATAGAATCAGCTTATAAACAGAACTGAATTTCTTTTTCACCACATCAAAACAAAAATAAGTGACTTCCCTGGGGGTCTAGCAACCCACTCCAGTATTCTTGCCTGGAGAATCCCAAGGACAAGGATCCTGGAAGGCTAAAGTCCATAGGGTCACACAGAGTTGGACACTACAGACTCAGCATGGCTAGGGGGTGGTTAAGACTTTGCACCTGCACGGCAGGGGGTGAGAGTTCAATCCTGGGTTGGGGAACTAAGATCCTGCATGACTCATAGCATGGCCAAAAAAAATTTTTTTTAATTCTTTGAGCTCTTATATTAAAAACAAAAACAAAACCCTTATCAGACCCACCTTATAATCTGTATGTCTATGTTGACTTGCCATCCTTTTGGAATCTGAAGCTTACTTATTCATTTCACTGGACTAGGGTTGCCAGAAAAAGTATAGGAAGCCTAGTTAAATTTGAATTTCAAATAAACAACACATAGTTTTGAGTATAAGTAGGTTTCAAATACTGCATGCAATCGACTTATACTAAAACCTTTTTGTGGTTTGTCTGAAATTCAAATTTAACGGGGTGTCCTGTGTTTCATTTACTGAATCTGGCACCCTTACATTGGAAACCTTCTCAGGACGTTAACCTGCTAAATACTAGCCACTCTAACATCCTCAGAGAGTGTAATCTGATTACAATGAGAGAAGGCATAGAGCTGGCATTGACCAAAGAAATAAACTATTTCATACTAGCCTTCAAGACTTGCTTTCAAAGCCCACCACCTTTTTAGGTGGGATGGTGAATCTTCTGATTGTGTCTTCTAAATCTTCACCCTGTCTTAAGGGCAAAGGGAGCAGGTCCTGAGAGACCTATTGAGTAGCATATCATGTTCCCTTTTAGATTAATATTCTGGGGCAATTTGTATCATAGGAGGTTATTCCAGGAAGTACAGGAAACTGTCATTAGGCTGAGATAGTTTAATTTAAATTTGCATCTATTATTAGATTTAAATGTCACAACTTCTTTAAAGATAATACTGTTAGATACCAGAGTGAATGCTTCTCCCATGCCAGGTTCCGTCTTAAGTATTTCATCTATATTTGCATTTCATTTTCACAAGGTGCCTCTGACTAATGTATTTTGATTAGCTCCACTTTACCGATGAGAAAACTGAGAAGCAAAAAGGATAAAGAACATGCTCAAATTCATGGCCACTAATAATATTAGCATGAGAAAGGAACTATAATCCATGCCTTCTTATCCAGTGTGTGTGTGCCACATCAATTCAGTCGTGTCAGACTCTTCCACACTATGGAAGGTAGCTCGCCAGGCTCCTCTGTCCATGGGATTTTTCAGGCAAGAATACTGGAGTAGGTTGCCGTTTCTTTCTCCAGCGGATCTTCCCGATCCAGGGACCGAACCCGTCTTATTCCGAGTCCTCCTTAAATAAAAATAAAATAAATTTCATCTACAGACCTGTCAACCTTGCCAAAAAAAAAAAAAAAATTAACTGCTCATGAATTTCAAATTATTTCCTCTGCGTCTCTCAATGGAGCTTTAAATGAATAGTATTAAGTTAAAAAGTGGATTGAGGAGAAAGCATCGGAAAATAAAGGAAGGGATTTCAGTTAAACCCCAAAGAACTGGGATGGCTCCTTTTTACACCGTTTCCCCCAGTATCATAAAAGCGCTTACTGAATGCCCTTCACTGTATTTACACGGAGAAATGAAACTAACTCAGGGGCAGGTCTTACAAGCCGGAGCATCTTCCACATAATTTGAGTTGGGGTCTAATGCGGTAATACTACAGACCCGAAGGCGGGATACGCCGGGCACTGCGGATCGCAGATGGAAAGAGTAGCCAGGGGTTCAGTGAAATAAACAAGCAGGGAGTTAATGAAATTGAGAAAGGTCTGATCAGAATCGAGGCTGAGAACAGGAAGTGGGGGCACAGCACCCGCCCTACACGTGTGGGTAGGTCCCCGGGGTGGGGGGTGGCGTAGAGGGCTAAGTTAACCCCTGGGTCCAGCTTGCGGACTCCAGGCCCTGGGGCTGTGCGGTGTGCGCGGAGCTCGCCGGTCCCAGCGCCCCGACCGGTGGGAGGCCGGCGGCCACACAGCTCCTCCCCGTCCCTCCTCCCGCGACGCCGGGGCAGCCCAGGGTCGGGGCTACCAGATCGCCCGGAGCTGAACGTGCGCAAAGCCGGAGCGCAGCCCCCCGCCCCGGCGCCCCGCGGCCACGGTGACGCGGTGACTGCGGGCGACAGAGCCGGCCGTGCTGGCAGCGAGCAGGCAGCAGGCGGGATCGTACAGTCTTGTCCCGGTTCCCGCGAGCAGTTCACCGCGGCGTCCGGGTGAGGAGGGACCCCCGAGCTGGCCGGAGCCCCGTGCGGCCGCGGGCTGGGGGCGGGGTGGGATGTTGGCGGATGGGAGGAAGGGGTGAATGGGAAAATGGGGGTGCTGGGGAGGCTGGTGCGCTGGGAAGATAGGGATGGGACGATGGGGGTGCTGGAGGTTGGGGAACTGGGACTCAATCCGCACCCACCCCCAAGCAGGAGTTGGACTCGCGGTCCCCGCCGCCCTCCTAGCAGCGCTGGGATCTTTGCGGGGAGGGTGATGGAATTTGAATGCAGTTCTCTCAGACCTTTTTCCCCCGGGAAGTAACCTCTAAGAATTTGGTGCTGAGAGGGAATCCGGCCGGCCGCAGGATCCCGGAGCACCGGAAGCTTTCTTTTCCTTGGGTCACCCGCGTGCTCAAAAGACACACACACCTCCCTCTGGGGAGTGTTGCTCCTTCGGGAGCCCAGTTCTGAGAAGCTGCGTAAGATCAGAATCAGAAAAACAAGGCGCGCCCGCCTCGACTCCCTCACATGCTAAGCACAACTCAAGAGTTCTAGGCGGCGACACCCTGAGTGACGGAGAGGCTTATATATATATAATCTTATATTTTAGTCAACGGAACCAGAAAGCAGGGAACATTCTCTTCCCCATCACCCCTTGGAGCCTCTCGTAGACCTTTCTATCTCTGAAAACGACAAGGTCAGGCTTTCATTCAGACCTGTGGTTCCCGGGAAGGTTGCGGAGGTGAGACGAGGGAGGAGGGTGAGGTGCATGGCCGCCCTTGAAGGACTTAGCTGATCAGGTTCTAGACAGATTTGTGTTAACAGATCAGTCTTGCAAAAATGACCTTTGACCCCAGTAAGAGTGCTGAGCTGGAAGATTGGTCTCTTTGAGTAGGAGCTGGGTGTAATGCTTCAGAGTGTTGACAGTCACGGAAGCCACAGTACGTGGTCTTGGGCTAACACCGAACTCGGGATCTGGACATGAAGTATTGGCCTGGACCATACAAGGGGGAGGGGAAGGGGCAGGGGGGAGGAGGTGGCCTTCTGGCTCACCAGGAGGCACCGGTAAGCTGCCAGCATTGGCAGCTTTCTGGGGGACCTGCTGAAGCTGGTGAGAGAGCCGCGGACTTGGCCTTTTCTCGCTGTCTCTGCTACTCGTTGTCTCACATAGGCTCTGAATACCTCCCCCATCCTCGGCCGTTTGTGCAAGAGCTCCTGCCACGGCTGAGGTGATGATGCTTTGCGTGGAAATGGACCCTTCTTACTCAAGCCTCTGGGGGTGAAGGACTAGCACAGTTGAGGGGGGCGGTGATTAATTTGGTTCAGCCACTCCTTTTACCTGGGCTTCCCTGGTGCCTCAGTTGGTAAAGAATCCGCCGGCAATGCGGGAGACCTGGGTTCGATCCCTGGGTTGGGAAGATCCCCTGGAGAAGGGAAAGGCTATCCACTCCAGTATTGTGGTCTGGAGAATTCCGTGGACTGTATAGTCCATCGGATCTCTAAGAGTTGATTGAGGGACTTTCGCTTCACTCCTTTTACAGCTGAGAAATTCTTGCTGAGGTGTGAAAGGGTTTGCTCAGCATCTGGAGGAGTTTCTGGCTAGCAGAACCCTGGGCAGCTGGTTCCTCATTTCTCTTCCACTGTATATCTGTACCTTTTAAACTTCAGTGGTGAGGAATAGTGTTCCAGGACCCAGTTAGGTTTGTGATCGGATACCATTTACCACCCCCTTTGAGGCTCTCAGCATTGAGCATCAAGGAAAGAGCTAACTAGGTACCTGGCCAACTGGAGTGAGCCCTGAGAATGCCAGCTGGTGTTAGGAATCCGTATCCTTACCCTGACACCTTAGAAAATGGATATTTCCTGGAAACGAAGATCATCCTGAGGTTATTTATCCCTTGGTTCATCTTAAGCCTGAAATTTTTTTCAAGACTCTTGATAACTGAGGGCGGACTTCTTGAGACATTGAGAAATTCCCATTAACGTGATACATTGAAGACAAAGTAATGAGTGAAGAGAAGCTGATGGGGAACATTTAGCTCTAAAATCATACTGTTCCAGAATTTCTAGATTTTTTTTTTTTTTTTTTTGCTTTCACTAAGAAAGCAACTCTTTTTCTTATTTAGAAAGGCTAATCATATCCATTTGTCAGTATTTTCAGCATTAAGGAAACTAGTTTAAAAACATAAAAATGTAAGTACACTCAGCAGTAACTGCTATGAAACGGTTGTGAACAGGCAGAAAATGTAGGCTTTCCTTTTAGCAGAATTTCCAGAATTTTGAGGAAGCTTTGTAGTTTGAAGGGATGGGCCATGGATTCTTACTGCCTTTCTCTATGAAGCCAAGCACCCGTTCAGAGTCCTGTCCTTTGCTCCCTGTTATAGGAATGACTCATAACACACTAATAGACACAGTCTAACAGTCTAGTATATATAAGCTTGTAGTTTAAAAAAATAAACATAGCAGTTGAGGAGAAAGAAAAACTCTGCTATCTAATTAAGTATCAACTGAATTAAGTGGGCCAGTTGATTCCTAGTATAAAATTCATTCATTCCTTCATTGACCTCAAGAAATCTTTATTGAGCACCAACAACATGTCAGGCAAAGTGAGTATAGCAGTGCGGTCTCTCTTCTCATGGAGTTCACTTTCTAGAACCAAGGGATTAGCAAGGTCAATTTGGAAAGGACTAGATGTTTTAAAGCAAAGGGGAAAAAATGCTGTAATAGAGTACTGGGGTTTGTATGTGTGTGTGTGTGTGTGTGTGTGATGGGCTTCTTGATTGGGTTTTAAGAAGAGATGGCTTTAGGATGAGCCTCCAGAAGATGGACAGGCAGTTCTGGTGGAGAGAACCACAGGCACATGGGGCCGGGAACTAGCTTGATTTGGTCCAGGCATGGCTGAGGGCAGTGAGTCTGCAGAACAGAAGGAGGAGGGTGGCAGAGGCGTGAGACTGAATCCAGGTCAGGCAGAGATTTGGAGGCTGAGGTAAGCAATCCGGACTTTGTTTCAAGTGCAGTGGGTAGCCCAGAGCGGAGGCAAGACTTGATAGATATCTTCACATTTTTCTCAAGAGTTCCTCTGGGAGCTCTGTGGAGGATGGGTAATAGGAGGAGAAGAGGAGAGGTGATGAAACTATCTCCAGGTATATTAATTATGGAGATTTACCAGAGTGTGGGAGCAGTCTGTGTTTTGGGGCAGAATGGGAAGTCACTTCATGTTTCTGTCTCAAATTTCCCATCTGCATAGTGAGATGGCATTGTTATGTCTGGTCCACTCATCTTGCAAAAACAAATAAGCTAATGAATATGCTCTTTAAAGTAAAGCAGTCCTATTTGCAAAGCAGAAATACAGACACAGACGTAGATAACAGCTGTATGGATACCAAGCGGATAAGGGGGCCACTGCGAGAAATTGGGAGGTTGGAGCTGACACTACACACTATTGATACTGTGTGTAAAATAAATAACTAATGAGAAGCTACCGTATAACACAGGGGACTGTACTCAGCGCACTGTGGTGACCTGAATAGTAAGCAAGTCCAAAAGGGAAAGGATATATGTACAAGTGGGCTTACCTGATGGCTCAGCAGGGAAACAATCTGCTTGCAATGTAGGAGACACAGGAGATGCAGATTCGATCCCTGGGTCAGGAAGAGCGCCTGAAGGAGGAAGTGGCAACCCACTCCAGTATTCTTCCCATGGTCAGGAGCCTGGTGGCTTTAGCCTGGTGGGTTACAGTCCAAAAGTTTGCAAAGAGTTGGATGCGAGTAAGCACAAGCACCTGTGTATAAGTATGACTGATTCATTTAGATGTACTGTAGGAACTAACACAACATTGTAAAGCAACTGTACTCCAATAAAAATTTAAAAATGAAGCTATGTCAGATTTTGTTACTATACTAATATACTGATATTATGCTACTTTGAATTCCCTGTGCTTCGTTTGCCAAAATTTTATACCAGTTTCAATTTATTCTTTTCAATAAATATAATCTACTAAACATAAAAAATATTTTGCTCTGCTCAGGGTGTTGAAAAACCTAAACCAAGAATTACTAATAAAAAAAAAAAAGAATTACTAATGAAACATACCATCATAGAAGGCAGGGAAATTAATGCTAACATAATAGCCAGTTTACTTTTTAAACATATTCCATCAAAAATTTTAATGTGGGATAAAAGATAGTTTATTAAACTGATGTTCAGCATAAATTAAAATTCAGAAATGAGCGATGATGGTCAAAAGGCACAAGCATCCAGTTATAAAATATATAAGCCCTGGGGATATCACATATAGCATGATGACTATAGTTAAAAATACTGTATTGTATAGCCAGCTTACTTTTTTATTTAATTATTTTTTATTGGTGTATTGTTGCTTTATTTATTTTAGCCAGCTTACTTTTAAAACTTTAATGTGATCAGATAAAATTCAGAGTAGAAGCTAGACATGGAAACTATTTTTTTTTTTAATTTAGCAGATTTGTCTTTGTGCTGGGTATGGCTGGGTACAGATATGTGTGTGTGCAAAGATCTGTTGACAACTGAAAACCTATACATGACAGCAGAATTTCTGGAGGGGGCTGGGAACCAGGGTTGAATAGGATTATTTCCCTTAGCGAAGCGTCCACTCCCAGAGGAAACTCTTGAATTTTCCCTAGTTGATCACTGGCTCAGTTTCTGGGGGCCAGGCAAGAGTTTCAAAGTTGTTTACCAGCTATGGTAGGCCTGACCTTCTCAGCAGCCAGACAGCTGAGAAAATTTGTTTCTCTTCCCTGCCTCATTTTGACATGTAGCATACTAGAAGAAAAGGTGTCTGTTAGAGGGAAATAGAAGCCTTTCCTCATTTACATCTTGTGCAAGGCAGTTCTTAGTGACTTGTGGTTCCCCAGTTAGCTTTCCCTTGCCAGACCTTATTAATTATTTATTGGTCGGCTCATCTGAATATCAGCTTGAAGTGGCCAGACTGGTGATTCAAATTGCAGACAAAATGTGACTGTAATTCTAGAATC